ATCAAACCAGCATTCTTTTTAAATGTATCAAACTATGTGTATTTCTGTATTCTAAAGTTCTAAATTCATAAAATGATATAAGGAGATGCATAATCTATATCAATTTGTTACTGAATGAGATAATCTTTAATTATAAAATGAGGCACAGATTACTGTAAAATAATGAATTTTTGTGGTGGTTTAATTTTCTTTGAATTTAAGTGTACCTTTAATCCACGACTTCATACATCCTTGAATCATCAATGTTAGTTAAATTTCACATGAATTTTAAGTATCAGTTATAGGATTTTGTGAGAATTAATTATCCATAAAATCAAGCACCCATGATGTAGTGATTTTTTTTTATTCTCAAACAACAAAATTTGCACCCCACAATAATGTAAAATGTTAAAGTTGGTAATCTCGATTACATTAAATAATGACCTTGTAAGTTAATAAAGTGCCCCAGAGCTGAGATTTCTGTTTTTGTTTTGTTTCTTTCATTGTTATCCATACATGCATTGAACAAACATCATGTAGGTCAATGTCACTGCTTTTCCTTGAAAATATTTACATGGAAGCACAATTTACAAAAAATAAATTTTTCCTGTGTGAATCAAAAGTAGAAATGAGTTTTGATATACAAACATACAAAACCAGACTTTCTGTTTAGTACCATTTACTGAATTTTTCTTCCCAAAATAATTCTGTCCTCAAACAGACTAAATTATACCTTAACTGATACATCCAAAAGGATAAGAACACCACAGAGCCATCATGGGCCCATTTTTCCCTCATGCATTACCCTGTACCCATCATATCAGCTTGCTGTGTTAAGCTTATATTTCAAGAGAATGCCCTACTGAAAGAATTACAATATTGGAAGCAACGTAAGTAACAATGAGACCAAGTGTGTATTAGTAAATCAATGTTGTATATAGATATGCCTTCCTATAACAGAAAGACTTAGAAGATTTAGTATACACGTTCTTTGGACCACCAGAAGTTCTATTGCACTGTAAAACACACAATGAACACACTTTTATTTTTAAATTATTGCTTATAAACAAACATATTTACATCTTATTATCAAAATTTACATTGAAATTAACACTTTTTATTTGTTAATACTGAAACAGATTTCCCAACTCTCCTTGGTTTTATAAATACACAACTAATTAAAAAATTTTAAACAATGAGATAATTTACCTACGTGGATTATATATTACTTAGCTTGGCTTCCTAAAATTTGAAAATTCGCAGACTTTTTTCATCAATAACATATGAAATGAAAACTCATGTAAGATCCTACATATTTATATCAATTTACAATATCTAATACCCGCCATCAGCTGATAGCAAATTTTTTATCTAACATTTCGTTTATATATTAAAGTGCAGGTTCAAATTAGAAAACATGAATTAATGATTACTTCAGGGAAACCTTTCTACTTCAGTATACTTTTTTTATTTCCCTATACATAAAATATCATAATTAATGACTAGATTACTGAACAGCTCATTACTTATTAAATCTAATTAAAATAACAAATGCCATTGTAGTTAAAGACTGCATCACCTTCAATTTTCTCACTTTCTTTAGTTTTCATACAAAAAAAAAGTATGACATTGTGATCTTTCCATAACATAGTGTTAAAATGCTAAAGAGACAATGTCAGGCACAGTACAGTGAGGGAATATAATTGTGAAATATACATTGTATATAAGAAAAAGTAATGAGGTTTTATCAACAGACAATGTAGGTAAATCCTAATTAATCAGGGTTCCTATTCACACAACAAATGACAACAGAATGTCATCATGTGAGAGAATGATGCCATCAATTTGCGAGAAAACAAACTCATTTGCGAACACAAACTAATGAAGTATCAATCTATATCTGCTAACAAGGGCAGAGAACTCCGTATTACGAAAAAACAACATTACATAAGGGAAACTTTTACACAAATTACACTCCATTTTTTAAATATTTCTTTTTTGGTGACATCCTCAATATGAACCATGGGTATTTTGAAAGATAAGAAATGACAGGATCATTTTAAAGTCACTAGAGCAAAGGTTTATCACTGTTATTAAACACATCGTCAAACACTTACTATCTTAGCTTTGGCAGATATAATGATTAAAATCATAAAGATACAATCTCTGTGTTAGTCATATGTCATACGACCCGTTTATCTTGATACATGATTTAATTAGCATTTAATGAACTACAGAGTTATTATGTCTAGTATAATACTGATTTATATATAATATAGGGAAGTGTTTCATTTTCCTGTCATGGTAAACAACGACATGTATATATGTTGTTTACATTAAGCTATTTCATCATACATAATGTACACACACACAAGATCTATCTAATCAATGCTGTTGTACTGACCATTTTACATATTATACATACCAAATTTATTCTAATAAACACCTCCTCCCAATTTTAGAGCTTTTTCCTTCCCTGTATGACTTACCAGGTGAAAAAATAAATCTCAACACCATTTTCATTAACAAAGGTGTTTAAGTGAGCTCAAAAGTCAAGAGTCTCGGACTATCATACGAGCTGCTCCTTCTCGTTAAAGAACTGCACACTCCTGGGATGATTACTGAATACATACAGTACTTCCTTACTAAACTGAAAGTTGTGCTCCTGTTAATACTAATCCTGCTGTAATGCAAGTTTAAGGTTAATTTTATCATAATAAGGTTAGTTAATTTATACCTTTTTTAACTACAAGTCATTAATTAAAATGTAACTGCCTGTACTAAAAATCCTATATTTTTAAACAATAACATACCTCTACACCTAGAATAATCCTCCTGTATACGTAATTCTAAACATTTGAAACATTCTCACATCATGAAACCCACACAGCAGTGACAGTTACAGTTGACCTACATATACTGCTAGTCTTTGGAGTAAGATTATTTTGTTTGATGTACATGTATCCATATTCAAAAGTTTTTTTTAACAGTTGTTTTACTGGACTGGTGAGGATAATTTTATGATACAGGCATCTACCTGGCTATTTGTATATCACACTTAAAGTGTTACAATCTGAAATAGATTTTAGAACATTATCTATATTTTGATAAATCAATATTTATATTGATATGTTGTCCAAGTTAAAACAGGTACATATGATAGAATGCATTATACATCCCTGGTTAGAATTTCCGGCACTAAATCAGAACTCTCACGAGTCTAGATCCAAGAAGTTTCCTTAGCATTACAGAGTTATTCCCCTTGCTGCAAGAGGCAAAATCATCAGTACTGTAAACCTGATAATCAGAAACTCCATACATCAGTCCTCAATTTTTTGTTTTAAATTCAGTGCAATTCCTAAATCTGACGGTTCTGTAAAAGTGAAGCCATTCCAAATACCTTCAGAGAGTAAAATTTCATCAGATGGTTTCTGTCCAATCAAAAAATTGTCAGTTTGGAAAAAGCACTGGCTTTAAAATGTAGTAGTTTGGGCATTTCACAAAAAAAGTTAATTTGGCTAAAAAATGGGTTGATCAGAAATGATATTGGGAAAAAAATGTCAAACACATTGCCTTGTTTATAATTTCAACACATAAGATTGACAGTGATGAACATAACCAGACAGGCCCTGCCACATGTTGTTCAGCGAGACAGCCACCAGCTGTTAATGAAAAAATAAGTCAATCACTACATGTTGTTTCAGTTTCTAGTGATAGATGAACAAATGAATTATTTGCACTCAAATACATACACCATATGCACCACTTCACTATAGCCACCAGGAACTGTTCTCATATCTCCTGTGGTATTCACTTGGTAAAAATACACAATGTTATTATAAATATTCAGATTTTTTCTTTTATAAAAAGCAGATAAAAAATTCTATTGATATAAAAAAGACAAAATGTATATTATCTACAAAGAAAATACTATATCACACATGTGTGAGATACATGGCACCAATGATAAAAAATGATAAAAAGAAAACTGTTCAAAATTAACATTTTCATAAAATGTTTCGTTCTCAAATCTAAAAATTGTTTCATATGAATACATTAGAAATAAAAATAAGCAATCCTTTTCAACTGTATGTGACGTATACATGTACAAGTGACACCTATGACAGATGACAGTCATAGAGAAGTGTTAACCAGTAACTACGTTTACATGTAACTTGGGAACCATCAAAAACTTGACAACCACATAACTTTGTAACTATACAAAAAACGGTAACCACACAGAGTCTGAAAACTATGCACACACATCTTGGTTACTACATAGAAGTTGGTAACCAGTAAGAAACTGATAACACCAGGTGCTTGGTGACCATGAAAATAAAATTTGGTTTTGATACAAAAACCTGGTCACCTCATTTACCTTGGTAACCACACCCAATAACACTACACACTCTGATACAGAACTCACAATAAATCTCAATCAGGATATACTTCTCTTCATCTGGGGATGGTGCAAGTATTTTCAAACCAACAGAATTCCAAACCATTTCAAATTCATGAAATATTAAATCTATAAATACATGCAGAGCAAAACACAACACAGTAGTTGTATTTGTAGTATAAACGAGCTAATGAGGAAGATGGACTGGGAGTCTGCATGCTTCCAATCCCATAATTCTCATGACACTGTGGACTGGGTCCAGTCTTTTACGTTGCTACTCTGACAACATAGTCAATGACACCTGTGTACATACACAATCCAAGCTTTTTAATGGTTATCATAATAATTGGTTTTGTATTTATTTTTCTTTTCTCTACGCAAAAAAGACGTTTTGACTTCATACTTAAGTTTTGTGCTATGGTAAAATGTAACACAGCCATATTTTACCATTTATACTAATATATCAATTAATTTCTGCTCTAAGTTTAGCATTCTGACACCTAAATATGGTAGAGTTAACGCCCTTTGTTATTCATGAGGAAAATAAAAACAGAGTTCTCTTTCATGTTGTTAGTTTTTGAAATACAAAAATTTCCCTCATTAATACGCCATTGAAAAGTCCTGGGTAGGATCTAGGTGAAATATGGGCAGTGAATGTGATTATGGGCAATGCTGTTGTGCTAGAGGTAGATGAGATGGAATGGATCATAGATACATGTCTTGTTCATATCCATGTAATCTGTTGTTGCACTTCAAGAAAAAAGAAACAATTGAATAGAATCAAACTTTTTATATGTGATACCAAGACATGGCCAGTGAAATGGCAGTGTTATATTTCAAAGTGCACTCTATTGTGTATCCCTCAGTAAAATTCCCTAGCCATGTCTGATGTCAAAGGTATGACTGGTCAAATGGTGGGAATATAAAATATTTAGGCTATAAGCTGGTATTATCAAAGGTATCCAAGCTTAAGAAATAATTGGAAAAGCACAGTAAGGACAATTTCTAAAAATAATATTTAAAAAGATAAGAAATAAAAAAAACTGAACAGATGTAAAAGGCATCCAATTTTCAAAGCCATGACCTTCAGTGATATAGTCACCAGCTAGGATATAAAAATATACACAATAAAATTTCCATCCAGTGGAAAAATGGTGAAATAGTTAAAAAAAAAACAAACACACTAGTTACCATAGAAATATAACTATTATGTTCTTCATTTCAGACCGGGATGTACACTTACAATACAATCTGGGTTTGTGTTATCAACCTTGTATAAAACAGCACAATTGCAGTACAATACAGTTACCCCATGTCAAGTCAGAATCTCCCTTCCTCAACATTTTGCTTTCAGCTTTAAAAAGATGTACAAAAAATATCTCACTTCAATAATCGTTCTTTGAACAAACATCTTTTTTTCTGACAAATGCAATGGAATACATGTGTCTTTATTCTGGATAGTTTCCTAGAAAATCTGTTGTCTGATTACGATAAAATTCCACTGTTAAATACCCCACAAAAAAAGATAACTAGACATCGACAGACCAAATGACCGTAGATTTCAGTTTGGCTTCGTAACAACAAACAAATCTATTGCACTGTCTATATAAAAATTAGAATATCCTAATTTTACAGTTTTTACTAGGACTTGTCCTCTTCCTCATCCTCACGTCCTTTCAGAAATAGTAACGGGAACATTCCTAATATACAGCCGATACTGATCCCCACGGCTCGTCCCTATGGAACAGATGTTAACATGGTATCAGTATAGAGATACGGAACAAAAACTCAAACAACTCAGACTGTTTCCAAGGTAATATTTAATTTTTTTTACAATTTTAACAATACAGTTAAGGTATATATCATGACTTTGACTTTGTCATTAATTATTTTTCCTAATTCAAAGCATGAATCAAATTATTTGACTCTTGAATGTCAGACTAGAAACTGTGTCAGGTCAGAAACAATCAAAGTTTAATTCTAACATTGAAACTTTTTTAATGTTAATGATTTCCAGAAATAGAGGGTAGATAACTCATACCAAATTCAGATATAAATGTGTATATAATGTGATGTAGCATACATCCTTAACATTGAAATTAAAATACAAGGATACCCACTACATTAGAAGCCCATCTTGTTTGCTTCATGTCCACCTGTTCAGGAAGTAAAGTCGGGGACCTCACTCCAAATTTGCTGAACACATACTCTACATAGTGGGCAGTCCTGTTGACATAAAAGAAAACCAATTTTTGTTTTTCTGTCAGTACCTAATACAGGTATGTACATTAAAATGTATCTTTTATACATGAGCTTTATTCAATTCACTTCAGTCATCAAACTCCTAATACTTGGCCTATAGTGATGTCATAAAATGATGATAAAATGATATCAAAGTATTAAGATTGATTAACTTTTAAAAAGTGGAAGTTAATGTGTAGACTGATTGTAAATAACTTCTATAGGCAGGTGTATGGTAGAATGGGAATGGCCTTTATAGACAGGTTCTCTGTGTATGGTAGAATGGGAATGACCTTTACAGACAGGCTATCTATGTATGGTAGAACAGGAATGTCCTTTATAGACAGGCTATCTATGTATGGCAGGATAGAAATGACCTTTACAGACAGGCTATCTATGTATGGTAGGATAGAAATTAATTTTAGAGACAGGTTCTCTGTGTATGGTAGAATGTAAATGTCCTTTATAGACAGGTTCTCTGTGTATGGTAGAAAAGGAATGTCATTTATAGACAGGCTTTCTATGTATGACAGGAAAGAAATGATCTTTATAGACAGGTTCTCTGTGTATGGTAGGATAGGAATGTCTTTCATAAACAGATTCTCTGTGTATGGTAGGAAAGAAATGACCTTTATATACAGTTTCTGTGTATGGTAGAATAGTAATGTCCTTAATAAACAGGTTTTCTGTGTATTGTAGAATGGAAATGATCACTATAGACAGGTTATCTAGTTCAGGTTAATTGTACATTTATAGACAAAGGTCATTTTTAATCTATCATATATGCAGCTGACCTGTCTATACAAGTCATTTCTATTCTACTATTAAGCGGAGAATTTTATAGATTTGACAGATCAGAGTTGACCTTTATTGACAGGTAGATTGTATATATGTAATATTCAGGCTGACAGTGTTAGAAATAATGTCTGCAATTACAGCTGGTCTGAAACACAGACAAGTGTTCTCTGAGATTAGAACAGTCCTTTACCAGACAAAAAGTGTATAATAGAATAGAGCTGGTCTTTATTGACAGGTTGAGTAATAGAATAGTGGCATTTAATGACAGGTTGAGTATATGTCACTATCACAACTCCTCAACAATTGTTTCATGTTTGGTATACTATTGAAATTATCATTTTAGATATAAAACATGTGATATTACAAATGAAAAAGATATTTGTACTTTTACCGAAGCTGGTAAGCCGATATTCCATCTTGGTTACTCCTTTGTAATAGATGAGTTACAGAAAATCAAACTACTTTTATAGCACATGTTTGACAAACCACCATTAATGATCTGTTACATAACTACAGTAAACCTACCCAACTCCAGCCAGGTCTGACAGCCAGTTTCCCAGGGCCGCCGCTGGAAATAAAAGCAATATTGACTTGATACATTTAAAATTCAAAGCAATATCTAAGATCCTTAGCCGCTAAATATCTATATAAGATTAAAAGTCAGACACAGGAAGTGTATAGTCAGGGCCCAATTTGTGAGAAACACACAACGAGTATAAGGTATCAATTTTTGGTAAGATCATCACAAAAACTATCCACGGATGATAACGAACCTTGAAAATGCAGAAGGGTTTGAACAACAGGTGGACGTTCAATGAATAGTTGGTTACGAGTTTAATGACTCTTATGAACATGGATGTATCTGTGAGAGGATGTCCCCTCCACGGGTACACAAGGCTTCAAATAAATGGTTAGTCTAGTTCCATAGGTCAGATACTGTAAATGTATTGAATTTTACGTAATCAAATTTAAGCAACTTATCTCTTTTTGGCAAAGTAGTGTAATGGTAAATTTGCACATCTACAGCAATTACTGTACAAGTAGTATACAGTGACTACCATCGTATTTCTTGTAATACTCTCATTGTAAAAAGTGATAAAATAAGATTACCACAAAAAATAAACATAACTACTTTATTGTAAGTCACAGAGCAGGCTGATAGCCCTGCAACAAATCAGGAGCTGTCCATAACGCTGGTCCTTTAATACTGGCAAGTCTGTAATTAAGTGTAGTAACCCTGCTTGTTCAGCTGGTAGTTGTCACATTATAAACGGTCAAATTACTCTAGGTCATGGTCCGTATTTGGTTGTCAAGCGTGGAGTCCAGGTAAAATTATCCGTTAAACTCCATCACTTTATCAATATAAATGACTGCTACATTGATTTTCTATTTAATGTTGGTATAATCACAATGGTAATCTTTGCCAAGTAATCTGAACTGTACACAAACATGGGAAAAAACATGCCAATTTATTGGTTTTCTTTGAAGAAAAGTCAAAACCATATTTTGTTTCTCTGTGCTTGCAGGATATATAACTAAACTTGGCTTTTTACTTTTTTGGGGGAGGCAAGAATATTGAAATGAGACGAGGGAGGAACTCAATAAAATCATGGTAAGTATTACATCATGAACATTTTTTTTACAAGAAAAACCTCCATTTCATTTCAGTGATAATTACCATCAATTTAGTATGAAATTTGTCTTACTATAGAGGAGATTCTCACATCCCAGCACCAAATCTAATACAGGGCAGTAAGAAGGACAGATATAACACCCAAGGGGAAAATTTGAAAGATAAAAACCGCTCTTGGACAGACAAAGTAGGATGTGATGCATACTACTGACCAACAGATGGGGGAACAGCCACCGACTGTGTCACAACTAAAGGACCAAGAGAAAAATGGTCATGGGAAACTGAAGCATAAGATTTCAAGTAAAAGTCAGTAAAGTTGGTCTGTCCTCATGAAAAGGCCGCTGACATGACCTCCTGAAACAGGAGCTCAAGACGTAGCAAGAGTCATAACCTCATGACCCCTAACCTTGAACTGCCCCCGGATCCTCTCATTGGAATGGTCGTAAGCAAAGTGAATCACCTCACAGAGCCATCTAGAATTGGACTCGGTGGTGATATCTTGCTTATCCTGTTTGATGGGCAGAAACAACTGAGAACGGGCTCTCTTCTTTGTTTATATTATATACAAATGAAAGGGAATTAGTGGAAGATATGCTTTCAAAAGTTATGGTAATTATTACTGAAATGAAAACACTAATTAGATTAGACAGGCTGTCTTATCTGACAATCTAGCGAACCCAACATATTGGTCAGATTAAACAGAATAGAATGGTGGACTGTAAAGTGATTCTTGATTGGTCAGACACTCTGAGGGACACAATGTTTTAGCCAGATTAGACTATACAATGAAGCTTGTGTTATATGATACCTTAATGGACAAAACATATCGGCCTGATCAAACAGGATGGGATGGTGGACTGTTAAGTGATTCTTGATTGGTCAGACACTCTGAGGTACACAATATTTCAGTCAGATTAGACATGTGTCAGACTATACAATAAAAATAGTGTTGTATGACATCTTAATGTACAAAACATATTGGTCAGATTTAACAGGGTATAAGAATGAACTGACAGTTTTGTTAATAACTTAATAATATGATATAATAGCAATAGGCAATGATGTGAACAGACTGTACTAAGGTATATTCTTATAGCAGCAAAATTCAAGAAACAGGAAAAATGAAAAATGCTTTTACAAAGGTAGTTTTCATTGAAGTCAGTTTCCTATTGTTTCTACTGTGAATTTATTAAGAACACAACTGATAAAATGATAAATTAAAAAGACATAACTGATTCCAGGTATTTTCTTTTCATTACAAACAGAATTCTATTTCCAAGAAAATCTACTCCATATTTTGTAGATAAGACATTATCCTGTGAAACTCCAAAGTTGCCACCAGAATAGATTTACAGGAATACTTAATATCATTTGCTGAAGATTTGTTGTCAGGTAACTAGTGTATTGTACCAACCTGCCATGGTAGATATACCAAGTACAGCCCCGAAGTAGGTGTCAATGTATTCCCCCTGAAATAGACATGAAGGTGGATTACGTATACACAGCTGTTTATGTACATTGATTTTAAAGACGAAACTGAACTTGTGTTGTTCTAAGGGTATCATTACACAGGAATTTGAAGGGTTGATACAGGAGTTTAGTAACTGTAAAGAACACTGTTTACCAGTTTACATGCAAATGTCTGACCTAATTAACAAAACCTTGTCATAATTACAGTGCTATATTTATCTTATAGGGGGCCAATCTGCTATCATGCATCTAATGTCAGGGGGTGGGCTTATTACAGGATAATGGAAAAAAATCTAAAGGAAATTCTAATGAAAAGCAGTAGACATGAATGGACTTCTTGACAAATAAATTGGTATGTAATGCATCAAAGTTTTTGCTATCATGAAAAGGATCAAGTTTCTGTGAAAATAATTTTTTCAGCATAGTACGTTTGGATTTTTAAAAAAATAATTCTTGTTTTTACATTTTTGTTCTCTTTATATTAATGACTTTTGATGCTTCAATAACTGGGACTGGCATTGTAATAGCTTGTTGTTCACATTTAATTTTATTGGCAGTCCTCAGTATCTTGTTACTTCATGCAAGATCACATTATTATCAGCGTAAGCTTCCTAATTTATAGAATTCATGTTTTGGCTTTTTGTTTTTCTTTTTTATTAAAAAAAGATTTCAATATATTTTTTTCAATGTTAACTTCTTTATTAAACTCAACCCTTTAGTTCACAAGCAATAAAACAGATTTAATGACTGTAGAGTTTATGACTCTGAAGGAGAAGTTAATGAGAGAGGAAAAATTGAGACTTTTGACTAAATATTACAGCTAACAATAAGATATATCGCATTATCTTATCTTAAAAGATAATGACATAGGATAGATGTAAGTATAAGTAAAATGTGGAAAATGCTGTCGCATTGTTTTCGGCAATTTATATGTTTGTGAGGTAGTAAAAGTATGCCATAATTTAAATTCCCATCGGGATCAAATTGACATCTCAGCCGACTTCATCAATGACATTAACTAGAAGTGCAGGTTTTTAAGACATTTCCAGCTTACATGCTTTCCCGTCACCATAGTGACTGTTTCCATAAGAGCAGTTCCAGTAAGTAAATCAATTCTACTAGTATATCTTGGCCTGTAGGTCTTCCTTACAATTGTTTTGTACACATCTATAATTTTCTCTGTGTTTTCTTGAAAAATGAGCTTAGTAAAATATTTCATTGTAAACCAAGCACACTCAAAGAGAGTTGAAAAACATAGGAAAACATTTTTATTTGCCCTAAACTGTTTTATGAAAAGATCATAATTTTTCAGGAGGTAGGCTCATTGTGAAAGTGTTTAATATATTTCAGTAATTTTACAGCACATCAATAGATGTAGGTAGACTTATTACATTGGCTTACTGCTTTACATATATATATACTGATAAAATAAATGTAGTGGACTTGAATGTGTTTGGTGTACAAAATATATCCCTCCTAACTCACAAAGGACCTTATGATATACATTTAGTAATGACTTCACATTGACCTTCAGAGCATCACCATTTCAAAATCAAACTTCTGTCTAGAAAAAAATATGTCTATATGTCTACAAAATATTTTTGAAATAATGCCAATAAAAATTATTTATGTAATGAATATTGAAAAAAAAAATTTATGGTAATGAAAAAAAACCCATCCTTGCTGCAGCCCACCAGGTACCACAGAAAACTTTAAAATGTAATACTACTTGATATTGTCCATATAAAACCAGTCTGAGAGAACATGGCTGCACCACTCCCAGTTAGAAACATGTTCCAGCTAGCAGTCATGGTAATAGTTTCGCTTGTAACTGCTAAATACAGCACACATCAGGGCCTGAATTATTGATGCTGTGACGGAGGGTTACAAGAAGATGACAACAATGGCCACCTAACCTGTTGACCCTGATCTATTTGTCCTTATTACACAACCCCATCATGCTTCTGAAAATCGCAATGTTGGTATTGTTTTTATTCAGGGATAATCAATTAAATGTTTCAACAATGCTGATCATAATTGTTCTGCTTTATCATTAACAATGTTATGAATAGAGAGGGTGTTGTTTCATTATGGATCAGATATGATATCTTTTCAAAATCAAAAGCTCAATATGATAATTCAACATAATGTTTTCCCATTTTCTGACAAATGATTGTAAAATGATTTAGTGTTTTAAGTATGCATTAAATATTATCTCGCATGCTTTCTAACTCTTGAGATGTGAATTACTGATTTTTACCCTAATTCTTAAATATTGGAATCAGAAAGATGCCATTTGTCTTGATTTGGGACCAAACTAAATCAATAGATTTGATTCAACTAGATTTTTTCTGATCTTTGGCAAAAACAAAATTGTCCAATTCTTGAATGGTTTCAAGAACAATTTTCTGGTATGTTGTGCAATTCTGATAAAATATATTACAACATACCATACTTTGCCCCAATAATGCATACTTGATGTTTTTTTTCCAATATGAGATCACAAAATGAGGTGGGTACACCTTCCCAATTCTCTTAAAACAGCTAAACCAAACATTTAAAAACCCCATGAAGTCAGTCATGTTGAATGAATGGGCACCAGGAAGAACCATACAGTCGGTGAACAGTATAGTCCTGCTATTTATTTCAGTTTTGTAATTTGGAACAAGAGGCCCATGGGCCTTAACGGTCATCTGACAAAAAGCAAGCCAAACCTAGAAAGTGGGTTGAGGTCATTCATTTGAACAAACTTGGTAGCCTCTCCTCCAAGCATCTTACAGGCCCAATGGACTTTTGCTTGTTGAGAAGAAGTCGTTTGTATATTTTAACATATTTGACCCCTGTGACCTTGAAAGTGGGTCGAGGTCATTCATTTGAATAAACTTGGTAGCCTTACCTCCCAGCATGCTACAGACCCAATATCGGCACTCATAGACTTTTGTTTATTGAGATGAAGTCCTTTGTATACTTTAACATATTTGACCCCTGTGACCTTGAAAGTGGGCCAAGGTCATTCATTTGAACAAACTTTGTAGGGCTCCATGCCAGCATGCTATGGGCCAAGTATTAGCCCCCTAGGCCTTCTAGTATTTGAAAAGAAGTTATTTAAAGATTTTAACATATTTGACCCCTGTGACCTTGAAAGTTGTTCAAGGTCATTCATTTGAACAAACTTGATAGCCCTTCATGCAAGCATGCCACAGGCACAATATCAGCAATCTGAGCATTTTGGTTATTGAGGAGAAGTCGTTTAAAGATTTTAACATATTTGGCCCCTGTGACCTTGAACGTGGGTCAAGGTCATTCACTTGAACAAACTTAGTAGCACTTCATCCCAGCATGTCACAGGCCCAATATCTACACTCTGAGCCTTTTGGTTAATGAGAAGAAGTTGTTTAAAGATTTTAACATATTTGACCCCTGTGACCTTTAAAGTGGGTCAAGGTCATTCATTTGAACAAACTTGGTAGAGCTCCATGCAAGTATCCTCTGTGCCAAGTAGTAGCCCCCTAGACCTTCTAGTATTTGAGAAGAAGTTGTTTGAATGAAAAGTTTACGCACGGCGGACGGCGCACGGCGGACGACGACGGACGAAGCACGATGGCTATAGGTCATCTTGACCCTTTGGGTCAGATGACCTAAAAAAAACTATCTACTTTTAAAATGGCTGACAATAAGTGATAAGATTATGTGTTTTGGTATGCTGTACTTTGAGGCATGAGAAAGCGAAACACGAAAATCAAGAAGTACCTATGTTGAATTAGAGAGGATTTGTCTACATGAGTACTACTCTTACAAAGGTCAGGGATATGGAGCCATGGGACTGGAACGGTGGAACCACAAGAACAAATAATCAGATTTACTGACAAGTAGCTATGTACCAAAATTAGATCCTAGATTTACTGACAAGTGGCTATGTACCAAAATTAGATCCTAGATTTACTGACAAGTGGCTATGTACCAAAATTAGATCCTAGATTTACTGACAAGTGGCTATGTACTAAAATTAGATCCTAGATTTACTGACAAGTGGCTATGTACCAAAATTAGATCCTAGATTTACTGACAAGTGGCTATGTACCAAAATTAGATCCTAGATTTACTGACAAGTGGCTATGTACCAAAATTAGATCCTAGATTTACTGACAAGAAGCTATGTACTAAAATTAGATCCTAGATTTACTGACAAGTAGATATGTACCAAAATTAGATCCTAGATTTACTGACAAGTAGATATGTACCAAAAATTAGATCCTAGATTTACTGACAAGAAGCTATGTACTAAAATTAGATCCTAGATTTACTGACAAGTAGCTTTGTACCAAAATTAGATCCTAGATTTACTGACAAGTGGCTATGTACCAAAATTAGATCCTAGATTTACTGACAAGTAGATATGTACCAAAATTAGATCCTAGATTTACTGACAAGAAGCTATGTACTAAAATTAGATCCTAGATTTACTGACAAGAAGCTATGTACTAAAATTAGATCCTAGATTTACTGACAAGTGGCTATGTACCAAAATTAGATCCTAGATTTACTGACAAGTAGATATGTACCAAAATTAGATCCTAGATTTACTGACAAGTGGCTTTGTACCAAAATTAGATCCTAGATTTACTGACAAGTAGATATGTACCAAAATTAGATCCTAGATTTACTGACAAGTGGCTATGTACCAAAATTAGATCCTAGATTTACTGACAAGTAGATATGTACCAAAAATTAGATCCTAGATTTACTGACAAGTGGCTATGTACTAAAATTAGATCCTAGATTTACTGACAAGTAGATATGTACCAAAATTAGATCCTAGATTTACTGACAAGTGGCTTTGTACCAAAATTAGATCCTAGATTTACTGACAAGTGGCTTTGTACCAAAATTAGATCCTAGATTTACTGACAAGTAGATATGTACCAAAATTAGATCCTAGATTTACTGACAAGTGGCTATGTACCAAAATTAGATCCTAGATTTACTGACAAGTAGATATGTACCAAAATTAGATCCTAGATTTACTGACAAGAAGCTATGTACCAAAATTAGATCCTAGATTTACTGACAAATAGCTTTGTACCAAAATTAGATCCTACATTGAAAAGTTACCCAAATTTACCACAAACTACACAATCAAATGTCACTGTTACAAACTTACATAGAAAAATTGAGAACTGAATGTGTTCTTGTGAAATATTTACAAAAAGGTATACATATATATATAGCGGTTGTATTAGGAAGAGAGAAGATCCTTATTTACAATATCTTCTTACAGAAGAAGAATGATCTTCTGGCTTCACATTGAAGGCCAATCTCATTACAGGGAGTCTGTGTAAAATTGTGATTAATTCTACATTCTTAAAAACAGCAATATCAGAAACAACAATACTGTGGAGGTGTAAAACAAGGACAAAATCATAAAATATTTCTTCAATTAATGACTATCTTGTCATAGCCATATTCAGTAAGATACAGATTAAAATTTTTACCATTCATGATACTGCTAAGTTTTCTTTATTTTTTAAATTAGTCCTAGACTAGATAAATTATGGTAAAAGATGATATCAATTTAACTGTTCTTTCTTAATTTTCACAGTCTTTTCCCTTATTATCCTTATTCCAGCTGAGCTTCACTTTTTTAAAAATTCCACTGTGAAATTAAAGTGATGTGTATTCCCTGACCTTATCAGGTGTCATGGAGCTCAGATGGATCGATTTAAATCTTATTTTTTTTCCAAATATGGGAAGATTTTAACAGACCATTAATGGAATACTTTAGCACAGCAAAAACTCTAGGTTCACATGAAATACAGAATATTTTAAGCAATCTATAAACCAAACAAATGATTTCAGTATGGTCAACTGTGACCATACAACTGTGACCATACAACTGTGACCATACAACTGTGACCATACAACTGTGACCATACAACTGTAACTGTGACCATACAACTGTGACCATACAACTGTGACCATACAACTGTGACCATACAACTGTGACCATACAACTGTGACAGTGTCTATATAAGAGATTTCAATATTGGTAGTACACAATATTCACAAATTAAATAACAACAAGGATGGACTAAATCAACTGAATTATTTTTACATGTTCATAATAAATATGTGTATTGAACTGTTTTTAGTTTCTGTAAGTAATTAATTGTCCTTGACATTGCAGGATTCTCTTTTTTATTTACTTACTTATTTTATATAAAGCACAAAGATATTAGATTTGATTTGTCTTCAATGTGTTGGTAATTTGCATGTCTACGGATGTCAAATGAACATAATACCCAAGGAAATATTGAAACGGCACGAAGAAAGTAAAGAATTGCTTTTCACAAACATACTTGTTATTGATAGCACACAGCAATTGTGAGAGTTCTGGTTCCCAATTGGATACAAGGAAAGAATTGATGAGGTCATATGGTATGATTATTATCGAATCTCCCAGCTAAGAAAATTTTGTATACTCACAGCCATGATCATGATGAAGTTGTCCAAGAAACCAAAACCAATAAATGGAATCGCATTGTGGAGCGTTACTGAAACAAAAACAAATTCCATTAGTTTACGAATGTACCGCAAGGGTATAAAGAATCATTTTTTTCTATGAACTTATTTTGTTAATACAAAACTAAGCTCACAAATTTTTGTCACATAATTCAGTTACATCGTTACATCACTAATGAGTTAGGCAGTGCTTCATGGTGGTTCAGAAAATCCTAAACTATGAAAAAAATCTGAACAAAAATATGAGGGACTTGTTTAAAGAATCCAAAAATTGTTTTCAAAAGACACACAAGTGAATAGCACCCTTCAATATATATTTAGAATAAAATGAAGCATAATGAAGCATCACAGAATTTTTTCCTCTTTCTAGGATTCTTTGGCAACATATGTTAGGAATCTACCATGTTCAAATCAAAATAATGGAGGAAAACCAAAATTGGTTGGAGTCAAAAAAATTGATGAACAAAAGTGGGGAGGTGCAACCGTAATTGCATTTTCTTCGAAATAATGTGAAATACACAGAACCGTGCCACTATCCAAATTAGTTAAAAAGTGGTGTGCAAGATTGTGGCAAATGAAATACTGTGAACATGCACAAAAGCCACAAATTGTAGTTGTAATCCTAATAGCAATTATTCTTAATGTGCGAATTCTCCAATGCATTTATGTGTTTAAAATTTGATGTTGGGCTAAAATAAAAATAAGCAAATTTACAGGAATAGGGTAAAAATCGAAAGAACTGCATGTTTTTCAAAAACATACATAGCACAACAGAGATTCGGCACTCAGAATAATGCAAATTTAGATGGAAAACAGAGGACGTTTAAGTTGTACACATAGTAGTGGAGGATAGTCAATTCATAAACCAATACATCAAGTTAATCAAATTTTACAGTCTGCTCTTAGAATATATGGTACAAACACATATATGTATAATGTACTTTTCTGACAATAAGCCTAGGTTTGGAAATAAGCCCATCCACAAATTCCACATCACTGTCAACCTTAATTTGAGCCAATGGTAATGTTTTTGTCTACCTCTACTTTTAGCCATTGGTAATGATTTTGTCTACCTCTACTTTGAGCCAGTGGTAATGCTTTTGTCTACCTCTACTTTGAGCCATTGGTAATGATTTTGTCTACCTCTACTTTGAGCCAGTGGTAATGTTTTTGTCTACCTCTACTTTGAGCCAGTGGTAATGTTTTTGTCTACCTCTACTTTTAGCCATTGGTAATGTTTTTGTCTACCTCTACTTTTAGCCGGTGGTAATGTTTTTGTCTACCTCTACTTTGAGCCGGTGGTAATGTTTTTGTCTACCTCTACTTTGAGCCGGTGGTAATGTTTTTGTCTATCTCTACTTTTAGCCGGTGGTAATGTTTTTGTCTACCTCTACTTTGAGCCAATGGTAATGTTTTTGTCTACCTCTACTTTGAGCCAGTGGTAATGTTTTTGTCTATCTCTACTTTGAGCCAGTGGTAATGATTTTGTCTACCTCTACTTTGAGCCAATGGTAATGTTTTTGTCTACCTCTACTTTGAGCCAATGGTAATGTTTTTGTCTACCTCTACTTTGAGCCATTGGTAATGTTTTTGTCTACCTCTACTTTGAGCCAGTGGTAATGTTTTTGTCTACCTCTACTTTGAGCCAATGGTAATGTTTTTGTCTACTTCTACTTTCAGCCAGTGGTAATGTTTTGCCATCAAGGCTTACTGCAGGATGATTTCATTATAATATACCAGTACCGACTGTCCTTATTTGATGCTTGTTCTAGTCTACCCCAGTATAATTCAATCAATATCCTAAAAGAATGCTAGGAATTAATACTGGTAGATTGATAATCCTTACAATCCCTGCTGTATATACCAATAGAATCAAACCTGAAAAAGGACCATGTTGTAACACTGAGAAGATTCACAACAATAGAAGCAAAACCACAACAAAACATTTTTGATTAAAACTGTAATCAATTGGATCAAATCTGATATCATCCTTTACCCAGTGGTACACATTCTGATACAAATTATCAAAGCAATCTACACATAAATCAGGATATGAAGGGTTTTATATCATAAAATATCAGAATATCTGATATTAATCTTACTTCAAAAGTTCCAAATCAATTCCATACTATATAATAGTGAAACATGCAGAAAGATTTGATTAATGCAATGAATCTATAAGCTATGAAATTATATGAGAATTATATTATGTGGTTGTCTCCCATTCTCCTGAAACTCTTCATATCCTCAATATTACAATTGGTAGATTACTATAAGCATAGTAGGAACCAAATGTAATAGAAACATCAAATTCTTTAACAGTTAAGTTTGATTAAAAAAAGCTTATTGCTTAACTTCATATTTTCTTGGCATTTTCATTCAAATTAATGAAATCATTCAATTCAAAAGCAATGCTAATGAAAATTATCATAAAATCAATTAAACTTGAGTTTTCTTCCTGCTTTGTTTCAATACTATCAATAATAATGATGGAATGATGTAATATTTTGTGCCAGTTGCCTGTTTCATTCAGTAACTTAACTTTGTTAATTCTATTGAAATCAACATTGTTGTTCCATTGCCTTGTAAATATCTGAAAGAGCAACACAGTACATGATCAAATAAGTGCCTGCATTGAAATTTTGGAAAATAAAATGATTCATTGCTTTAGTTTTAGAATCATAAAAAATGACAACAGCAATAAAAGATGCTGCAAACTGGCAGAATTATCCAAAGGAGAGAGATTGTTCACACTTGAAACAGACATTGGTAGGGAGACGGGGAGAGGGCCGAGAGAGGGGGCTTTGAGCGATGCAGTACTGTAGAGACTGAAGATGGTTATTTGGTAGTTCAAATCGCCATGAGAACTGCCAGGGCCATTTTGAGGTGGGATCTCCTTGAGGTAACTGGTGACTACCTCAAAGAACAACATATGAGAGGCACATGTCACATAAAGTCCAGGGCAATTGGGATAATGTGTCTAGCCCAAGGACACAATAATGTCAGCACAGACTGATCCAGAAACACAAATTCCCACAGATAGGGGGTGTCGAAACTCATACCTCAGATATTTAACCTTGGTTACATAGACCAAAACCCTAACCAACTGCGCTAGCCCAGTCCCCAGTTAGAATAAAAAATAATCATGACACAGGTGTGTGTTTAAATCCTTGCCAAGTTGTGCCAGCATGTATATGACTCATTTCCCTTTTAGATGAAGGAGAATTGGTAAAGCCAAGATGATATAGGGATTTGAATTAAAGATCTGTGGTATTGTACACAAGAAGATATAGGGATTTGAATTAAAGACCTGTGGTATTGTACACAAGAAGATATAGAGTTTTGAATTAAAGATCTGTGGTATTGTACACAAGAAGATAGAGGGTTTTGAATTAAAGATCTGTGGTATTGTACACATGAAGATATAGAGTTTTGAATCAAAGATCTGTGGTATTGTACATATGAAGATATAGGGTTTTGAATCAAAGATCTGTGGTATTGTACACAAGAAGATATAGAGTTTTGAATCAAAGATCTGTGGTATTGTACACAAGAAGATATAGGGTTTTGAATTAAAGATCTGTGGTATTGTACACAAGATGATATAGGGTTTTGAATTAAAGATCTGTGGTATTGTGCACAAGAAGATATAGGGTTTTGAATTAAAGATCTGTGGTATTGTACACAAGAAGATATAGGGTTTTGAATTAAAGACCTGTGGTATTGTACACAAGAAGATATAGAGTTTTGAATTAAAGATCTGTGGTATTGTACACATGAAGATATAGAGTTTTGAATCAAAGATCTGTGGTATTGTACATATGAAGATATAGGGTTTTGAATCAAAGATCTGTGGTATTGTACATATGAAGATATAGGGTTTTGAATCAAAGATCTGTGGTATTGTACACAAGAAGATATAGAGTTTTGAATCAAAGATCTGTGGTATTGTACACAAGAAGATATAGGGTTTTGAATTAAAGATCTGTGGTATTGTACACAAGATGATATAGGGTTTTGAATTAAAGATCTGTGGTATTGTGCACAAGAAGATATAGGGTTTTGAATTAAAGATCTGTGGTATTGTACACAAGAAGATATAGGGTTTTGAATTAAAGATCTGTGGTATTGTACATATGAAGATATAGGGTTTTGAATTAAAGACCTGTGGTATTGTACACATGAAGATATAGAGTTTTGAATTAAAGATCTGTGGTATTGTACACAAGATGATATAGGGTTTTGAATTAAAGATCTGTGGTATTGTGCACAAGAAGATATAGGGTTTTGAATTAAAGATCTGTGGTATTGTACACAAGAAGATATAGGGTTTTGAATTAAAGACCTGTGGTATTGTACACAAGAAGATATAGAGTTTTGAATTAAAGATCTGTGGTATTGTACACAAGAAGATATAGGGTTTTGAATTAAAGATCTGTGGTATTGTACACATGAAGATATAGAGTTTTGAATCAAAGATCTGTGGTATTGTACATATGAAGATATAGGGTTTTGAATCAAAGATCTGTGGTATTGTACATATGAAGATATAGGGTTTTGAATCAAAGATCTGTGGTATTGTACACAAGAAGATATAGAGTTTTGAATCAAAGATCTGTGGTATTGTACACAAGAAGATATAGGGTTTTGAATTAAAGATCTGTGGTATTGTACACAAGATGATATAGGGTTTTGAATTAAAGATCTGTGGTATTGTGCACAAGAAGATATAGGGTTTTGAATTAAAGATCTGTGGTATTGTACACAAGAAGATATAGGGTTTTGAATTAAAGATCTGTGGTATTGTACATATGAAGATATAGGGTTTTGAATTAAAGACCTGTGGTATTGTACACATGAAGATATAGAGTTTTGAATCAAAGATCTGTGGTATTGTACATATGAAGATATAGAGTTTTGAATCAAAGATCTGTGGTATTGTACATATGAAGATATAGAGTTTTAAATTAAAGATCTAATATGATTTATACAGAGTAGATTCTGATGGAGTCCTTATTCTCTACTTATTTCACATTCACATGTATAAAGTATTATGTATATACATCACATGTACGAAGTCAAAAGAACATTGTTGATTAACTTCATTTTATAAAACTATACAACACGAGAGACTTATTCTGTACACTGGTTTTTTTGTCAATTTTAAACATAAAACTTCAGTTGTGTAGAAGCTGCATGTAGAGGTCACCATGCAGTCTATATTGAACAAAGACAATCTCCTGGGAAAAGCCTTCTGAAACATCCTGAGCAATGTATATATATATATATATATACCTAAAAATTTCTTACTTCGAATTTCAGCTGCTGAAATTGAAGGAGATTATATAAAATCAATACCTTACACATGTACATGGTAGCTACTGTTGTTATTGGTCTGTAAACATCGTAAATATAGGTAATCATTTTCTACTTTCAGTTGATTAGTTTTGAAGGAATGTGGGTTTTTTTTCAGAAGCAGCTGAAAGCGTCTTTATAAATCTATTTAAATGACTACAGCATTTCTATTCACACCTAGAATAATTATGTAAAGTTTCAAATTCCCGATTACAACGTCACTTTGAAACGATGACAGTAGTCAATTGGCGATAATTCTTGATACTTTGTTATCATGCATATTTCAAAGTTATCACATACAATTAATAATGTTACAAAGTCAAATACACAACAAAAAACTACAGTAGAGGAAAAGTGAAATAACAACTGGGCTGGTGTAATGGTGTCAACACTCAATGATGTTAAACCACATTCTATATCATTCTTGCCCTCATGGGGAATCATGTTACACTGTTAAACTGTTAACGAGGCAACTAATTAATTACTTTCCTCTCACTATGACGTGTTTAAAATGTATATTCAACAAGATCATTATTGATCTACATTAAACAAACCCAATAAAGATTTTACCCAAAAGGAAAAAGGATTTTCCGTGTAGACAAGCACAGCTCATCAGATATCAGAGAAAAAAATGACAATTTTCCACATAATGAAGTTAGAATTGATTATCAAATAAGCCAGTACAAAGAACAGCGTTTTAATGTAAAAATCAACACTATTACTTTGACAATGAAATGTATCTAGGAGCTATTTCTGGGCTTTTCTGGGTCCCATTCCCGACTGAAATTATTACATATTTTAGCCAAATTCCTAAAATTTTCAATTCACTTTTGGAAATATCCTACAACATTCACCAATTCTCTTTCCAAAGTGAGGAAACAAGACTCCCATCTCAAACCTGTGGAAAAAATCAGTGACAAATGTGGCTCTCATATAGCAAGCAACATTAGTATTATACAGGTTGACTCACACAATTTTTGTCTTTTCCTTTTTTTTTTTTTTGCTTATTTAGTTTCAAATCATAAATGTAAAATTGCATTAATTCTGCAAAAATGTGTTCCATGTATTGATTTATCTGGATAATTAAAAAAAAAGCCAGCAACTTCTGTATTCTGTTACGGCAATAATTATGAAGATAAATTCTAACTGGATCCCATTGTTTAAATATGATCCAACTTTGGAGGCATTTGGGAGGAATAGGCTATCGTTATAGAGAAGAATAACTGTTTATAACACTTTTGATATGCAAAGCTTTCATTTCCAGCTAAAGCTACATCAAATTTCATCAAGAGTTTTGGAAACAGATTTCATTCTGGTGTAGTCATAAATCTGTATATTGGTCACAGTCAAAGGTTTTAACAGTCTCAAAGTATATGGAAGTTATTGAATCTTTAGAATTTAGATTAATATGAATCTTTGAATTGATTAAAGTTAAAAATCTTTAGATAACTGACTTCAAGACTTTGGAATCCTTTAAACCAAGAATGATTGACCATCAGGCAGTCAATAACATTCTACTTACTAGAGTCACAGTCTGTTGCGATATATACTTCATTGACAAAACTGTTACAGCCCAACGGATTCCGAAGCCAGAGATTTTAATAAGAAAATGACTTAGAACTGTATGAATAATGTCCCAGCGAAAATCCTGTGACAATTATCTCAATATACACAATATACACAATACCTGCTTTTGAGCAATTAAAAAAAATTGTATTCTGTGTGTGTTGTGTTGTTTAGGCCATTTTCCAGCATTAAGAAATGAACTAGACCCATACGCGACAATTCTCTATAGTGATTATCTCCTTCAAAGATTGTCTATCGATAATTGTATTTCTGGCCTTTTGTGAATGGCTTGATATGGCTGATACAAAACCCTGCATCAACAAGGAAAAGGTCAATGAATGACAAGCCCTACTTCAGGTTGCTATTCTATGTAGCAGTAGAGATACAACTGTTTGCTGGTTTTTTTTTAAAATAATCTCCTGTTCAGAAGATCTTTTAGACAAATTCTATCTGGTACTAATACATGAACCAAGTTTCTTGGATGCCAAGATACGTAATCAATTTTTCCCATTTAAAATCTGCTTGTCATCAACATCATGGTAGAAACTGTTGGATGTGGTAGAACATGTGGCCAGTATGAAGGATCGTCATGAAGCCCTTTATCTGTATCTCTGTGATACGAGGCTGATAACCTCTCTCATCAGAAGCTCAATTTTTCGATAAATTATCTTCCTATGTTCAGGGCCAATTGGTGGCTTAGCCTTAAGACCTTGCAAGAAGGTGCTTTATTAAGGTTTTTCTTTGGTTCTCAGGCGTGTGTTAATAGATCTTAGTGTGTGTCACTTGACCGTAACCCATGGTAACAACATGTCAACAGTAAATGATGGATTTTATTTAACATCATCATCATCATCATCATCATCATCATCATCATCATCATCATCATCATCATCATCCTCACCATATCTTTATAAGTTGCAAGTCAGACACTGGAAGCAAAATTGGAAGAGCAAAAGACTGAGGCCCAAAAGGGCTGAAGTTAAGCATTGTAATAGAAGAATTGTGAGGAAAAAATTTTAATGAGGACGTAAAAAAAAAAGATCTTCAAAACACAAGAGGCCAGGCAAAATGAAACAATTGTGTCTAGGTTTTACTTTTTATATATATGACTACAAAATATTTTACAGATTTGTTTTACTGCAAAATCCACTTTTACCAGTCTAACATTTCATGGACACAGGAATTCATGGATTAAGTGTACTCAGGAAATGAACAAAAATTAATCTCCCATGAAAACAAATAATTCTACAGTACATCACACAACAGAACTAAGACACAAGCATCACTGTTATATGGAGTCTCTCTGTGAGTGAAAGACTTGTTTGCCTTTAAGACAGAATCATTAATGCAGAAAACTGTATACGATCTAAGTCTTGGAAAAACAGTATGCCAGCCATAAAGAATTTGATGGATTATTCTTTAATGTACAGTTAAGCTTTCCATTAACTTTTGTCAGTGATGGAGAAATAACCGTTTATTATTCAGACATTGAATATTGTACACCAGAGCAACAGCCAATCAGAATGGTTGATTAACTCGGGAGGAAAATACATTCTGCTCCCATTAATTCAGACAGAGGACGAACATATCTCCACGAATATAGCATATAATTGACAAAAACGGAGCAAGCAAGGTCTAGTGGTGATGTATTATGTACAGTTTACGTTAATAGGTGTGTGTTAACATTGACATTCAATGGTGACCTTCACAGAAGATCAATCATAGTAAGAAAATATCTGTTTTCTTCATTAATGGCTCTGTGAGTTTTTCCTTTTTATTCTGTAAGGACAAGCTGAGGATTTTGGTACAGAATTTTAAAGCAGAAAGATATGAACTTCCACTCCAGTGATGTTTGTAGCTTCACTTGTCAATAGAAAAGGCCAGACAGCACATGGTCATATCAACAAAGAAATCATAGAAAAGTTCTGTAGGATTACATATCTAACCGACACATTCTTAGTCGGCAAATACATCGCCTTCCATCAATGTACATTTATCTTGTTTCCTATTTTATTTTCACTTCCATTTTTTTTCAAATGAAATGACCACCGGATATCTATATTTTTGAAAAATGGATGCAACAGAAAGATAAGTTCAAAGTTCATATCAGTAAGAATATCAAAATGTCACGTCATCCTTGCAGGGTTTAAGCATAATGTATGATGCAGCACTTTCTGAAAAGACTGAATTCCATTGTTTCAGAAACTGGAGAAAAAAACATTTATGGTAGGAAATTAAACTCCAGTATATTCTTTGATGATTATCTTAAGGATTTGTAAGGTTTAGTTATATATTATTTCAAGGGAGAAAATTCCAACCAAAATTGAGGGAATAGCATGTACTGAATCATTTACTCTGTGATGGGCCTTCCATATGATGTGCAGTGAGGTAGCAACTAGATATAACAAGGACACTCCACTGTGAAATTACAGTGGTTGTTCAAATGACAATTAACCCATGAAAAAAAGCAAGCATTAATAATAATAATAATAATAATAAAGATAGGACAATGTAGTAATAATCATACCTCGCTTCAGTTGTCCTGATGTTGGTGGATGCACTTCAGTGGTACCTGATGAATAAAATAATAATGAATTACACAAGAGTAGAATACACATCATCTGATAATGTTTGTCACTGATAGATCCCACAAAGTGGTCAAGGTCATAATAAAAACTAGATCTTATTGAAGACATGTATACCTCACCAGAACATGAACATTCGCTTGTGAGACAACACCTACGCTGGTGAGACAATGCCTACGCTGGTGAGACAACACCACACTGGTGAGACAATGCCTATGCTGGTGAGACAACACCTACACTGGTGAGACAATACCTATGCTGATGAGACAACACCACACTGGTGAGACAATGCCTACGCTGGTGAGACAACACCTACACTGGTGAGACAATGCCTACGCTGATGAGACAACACCACACTGGTGAGACAATGCCTATGCTGGTGAGACAACACCACACTGGTGAGACAATGCCTACGCTGATGAGACAACACCACACTGGTGAGACAATGCCTATGCTGGTGAGATAACATCTACGCTGGTGAGACAAGACCTATGCTGGTGAGACAATGCCTATGCTGTTGAGATAACGCCCAAGCTTGTGAGACAATACCTATGCTGGTGAGACAATGCCTATGCTGTTGAGCCAAAACCTACGCTGGTGAAACAACGCTAGGCTGGTGAGACAACACCTACACTGGTGAGACAACACCTACGCTGATGAGACAACGCCTATGCTGGTGAGACAACGCCTACTTGTCACTTCAGGATAGAAAGAATCATAAAGATAAAAACCTGTAACTAACCAACCAACAAAGGAAGATATACATGGTTTTAACTGTTAGACAATGACAAAACACACCTATTAAGATATATGTTCATATATAGCATGACATGATCAAATTTCAATAAAAAAATCAAAATCAGAAATTAACAAGGAGCTAAATAGACATAGTTTCAATGATGATGAGCTTCATCCTCGATACTCCAGGGGCTACGATCACTTTCACTCTCGGCACACCTGGAAAATTTTATGGCAAAATCAAAAGTTCCATGTGCGACACCTTTTGGACAAAACAATAACCCTAATTTGATCCTCTAATGTACATCAAACACATCTTGAATATCCAGGTTGCCTAACAGTATGATGTATTGGCCTTACAGTTGGGCATTGCTCCATTGTATTCTTCAAATTAAGGAGGGCTTCAGGTTGTGATTGGTCGGTTTTTTCTCCTAAAAACTGCTCAAGACCATTCAAATTACATTCCTTGAGCCTTAAATTTTGCCACGAAATGTTCCAAGGGTGCGAACGGTGATAAGGATTCTTCGTTAGAATATCTACGATTATGACAACAATATCATGGACCTTTATCAATACTTGTCAGTCACACAAACTTGACCGAAGCAATGAACAGATATCACTAGTATAAACCCCAGTCAACCAAAGTGATGAACTTGGGAGTCAGAACAAATCCATTTTGTGTCACAGCTTTATGTTAATCACACAAAGCAAGCAATCTAGATTGGAAAGGGAACTGGATTTAGTCAACATATTAAGTCTGAGAGAACCTTTCAATCAATTTCTATATGAGTTTCTAACAATCCCAGTTGGTTTTTCAGTCATTGTTTAGTGGATTTGGCCATAATAGGAAGAATTTTAGAGTCTTGCGTAGTCTAGGTGAAAAAACTCTTAGCTGATATTACAAAACTTATAAATATACTGAAGTGATTTATCCAAGTACTAGAATATGTCTGTGAGATATGAATACCAAAATTCAGCTGGAAGTTTCAATATCTGACAAATTCTTATAAATAGTGACCTTGACCTTGGAACCCTGACACAATAAATCATATGACTTATTTGAGGTATTACCAAAGATGACCTTTTCATAAAGACTGATCAAAATTCTTTGAGACATTGATTTGGGATGTGATGGGACGCATCACAACATGAAATGGGACATATCTCCACAGTGTACATCCATCCACCTACATTGTTTGGTGGAGAAATAAAAGTAATTAGTATGTCACAGTGCGTCACATTATTGCTGGAAGAAGAACAGTGAAATGAAAACCAATTTTCATAAAAGTGAGTCACTTGTTCAGAAGGAAACTCAAAGATACCATAACTCAATTGAGTAGCGATGACAATTGATCAAGACATTGCATAAAACAAGAAAATATTCACCACACTGTAAATTTGTATACAAGACCAATTTTCATCTTCAGGTTTTCTTACCGATAAGATACATTGCTTTTCTTGTCCAGCCAATCAATAAAGATCTTTGTCATGTCAATTAAATGCAAGCGTGGGCTTCAAACCAATGTATTCTATTTCGGGAAAAATCTGGCCAACAGATTGAATCAAATGTGAAAAGTCAAGCTCTCAAAGGACAATGGTGGTCTAGGTTTGTAGAATAAACATAGTCCACCGAGAGAGTTGTAGAAATAATTTACTTTCATCATTTACACAGCCACCTCCTGTAGGGAATCTTTCTATATCTAGCACGGGAAAATGAAGTTCATAATAGATTAATGGGAGGTGGGTAAGGCATGTCTCAGGCCATCTTGGAGCTTGAGAATCAACATGCTGACCTTATAAGTGTACCGTATTTATTATTTGATAAGCCCAAGGGATTCAAAATATTAGAGATGGGCTTACTGCAGGACATTTGTTAGCATCTTTATTAAACTGTATTAGACAAGGGTCAGGTAATCTTGTAACCAGTCAAGGGTTTATTTCTGTATAATTACGGTAATTATAATATCTACATTGAAAAGTTCAGCTAAAGTACAAATTACAAATGTACTGTTTTTGTATATGTAAGATCCTAAACATATACATATGTTTCTTACTTTTTATCAATTCAGTTTTGTTCGGGTTTTTATTTTGATAAAAGATGTTATGATATTTTGAAAGGTTTTTCAAGAGTTGAACACAGAACTTTTACAAACTGTCATGACGTTACATATATAGGGTACTTATTTGGTTTTCTATGTCATATATAAACTCACTACTGCAAATGAAAGTCATTCGAGCTACCTCACATTGAAATATGTATGGTTCATCATCAAGTCACCTGCAAATCCTTCATTGTAAAATATAAGCTTTAGATAGCTCAAGATTTTAGATAACTAGGTCAGAGTTTATTTATCAAGCAATTTTATCAAAATCTGAACACCTACAATGTTTTTTTCTGCTGTTGATTTGCTGGTATGCACTCTATTTGTATAGTTAAAGCTAAACCATGTCTTTTCCAGGTTTCCAAATATCTCACATTAAGTAAGAAATATGTTATCTCTGCCACAAAACTCACCATCACCAACTGAATGATTTTTACTTTTTAAGTTTTTGCTAAAAAAATATTTCATATTGCATTTTGAATTTTACGAAATGAAAAATAGTTTCAAAATCTAAAAGAGATGTAAGTCTGATATAAACTGTAACCTTACCCAATATTTCAAGGCTACATAGCTAGCTGTAGACATTGTAAATGATATCCACAGATGGGATTATCATGGACTGGGTGTTTATTAGGACAAATATGCATAAGTTGGCGAAACAAATTCTTTCTTACACATATTATGTGTCCCCTGGTAAAAAAATTAACCCATAAAAGCATTAAATCCTGTGGCAAATTTTATGGCCAGCTAACCGTAGCACAGATATCTTAATCACAGCCCACACAATCAATATCACGTGTTTTTACTGATAGATCTTATAATTAACAGAAATTAAATGTTTTAATAAAAGGTGCTACAAGGGCATGATTTATTTCTTCACCAGGAACAATAGATTGTCAGCCAAACATCACATAGAAAGTGAAGGGAAATCCAAGTGCCTACAGCTATATATAGCATTAACGATATTCTAGGGAGTACATTAGAATAATTACATTTAGCAAACCTGTGGAGGAAAAACCGATCAATAATCATCTGTGGTAAACTATCGTAACACTTGTCATTACGGATGACAACATTTCATATCAACATATTTTTTCAGAAGATATTACACATAATTAAATTTGTCGTAGCTAATAATACACACAAAGTGAGAGTACTTCCCTGTGTATATATGTGTATCATAAAGCTGACTCTTATCCTATTATTGTGAGTTTGAAGAGAAGGGGGAACAGAATAAAGAACATGTTTATTTGTGTGCTTGTTGGTTCTATCCCCCGATGAACAGCCAGGGTTACTTAGAGGTTGGGTTTCCATGTAGTAATAGCTTGCGGTATCCTCAATGAACAACATACAGAAGGCCCAATGCATGCCAATCAGAGAATGCCCAAGGACACAACCATGTCACCACAGCCCCACCCATTTCACAACTTCCTGAGAACAACAAAAAACAATGGGTTGGAAGCAGTCAGTCATTGGTTGTTCAAAGGCTCTTTAGACATAATCAGCAGATTGTATAAATTCTTTATTAAAGACAAATTAAATAAAACCGAAAACATTTTATAACAGCTGTTGAAATAGTGATGATTGAGAAATTTGAGCTTTGGTTTTTCCTTTGACATTCATGTTCTTTCAGTGGCGATAATTAGATTTTTCACTCACCACCAGGTATTGGTTAACTAGCCTTTGGCCAACCGGTCCCTGAACCATGTACCTCAGATCATCCCCTGAGGTTACATAGACCAGCACTCTAATGGCTGTGCTATAGTGGCTTCTTTAAATGAATAACGCTGAAATGAAATTACCTACTTTAAAACTAAAGCAGTTCAGTTTACCATACTGTAATATCCTCAATCAAAATTGTACTGTTTTCACTGTTTTATTGTTATAAGAGTACAATGACAGATAAAAACCCTTAAAAGAATTTAATGTTTCATATACATCATCACATCTCTTTTGAAGTATTTCAAACCCGTCAGGAAAAGATCTGAATCATTGTAATAATAAAAAAAAACTAACATTAAAAGCCATTCGTGTGTCTAGGCTTAGTTACCATATTTTCTGGGTTATAAGCTGCACCATTTCTTACGATATGGTAACCACTATTACTGATGTTGGATATACCAATAACAGATAATGGAAAGCACTTC